CGCCCACATACTACCGAAACACTGACCGTATGATTGTGCCATAGACTTGCAAGAAGGAACACAACCACCTTTTGGCCCAATCTACAATCTATCGCAAACGGAGTTGGCAGAGTTGCGAAAGTACATTGACGAGAATCTAGCCAAGAACTTCATTCGTCATTCAAAATCATTAGCTGGAGCACCCATCTTATTTGTGAAGAAGAAAGATGGATCATTACGGATGTGTGTGGACTATCGAGGCTTCAACAAGGTAACAAAGAAAAATCGTTACCCATTACCCTTGATTTCTAGTCTCTTAGAACAACTTGGACGTGCGAGGATCTTTACAAAAATTGATCTAAGGGGAGCTTGTAATCTCGTACGAATCAAAGAAGGAGATGAGTGGAAGACAGCATTCCGTACAAGGTATGGTCATTTCGAATGTAATGTCATGCCTTTTGGTCTTACTAATGTTCCAGCAGTTTTCCAATATATGATGAATGACATCTTTCGAGAACACCTCGGCGATTTTGTTGTCATCTACTTGGACGATATTCTAATATTCTCTAAAAATGAGGAAGAGCATGAGAAGCATGTTCGTTTGGTCTTGGAGAAACTATGCAAGCGAGGACTATATGCCAAATTAAAAAAGTGTTTATTTCACCAGACGGAGATGGAGTTTTTGGGGTTCATTGCGACTATAGAAGGTTTGAAGATGGACCCCAAGAAAGTAGAAGCAATCATATCTTAGGAGGTTCCAAAGACGGTTAGAGATGTACAATGCTTTCTTGATTTTGCTAACTTCTATCGGATCTTCATCAAGAATTATTCTCAAGTTGCTGCTCCTCTTACTCGATTAACATGCAAGGAGAAGTTGGAATGGAGACCTTTGGCGGAGAAGGCGTTTCAAGACTTGAAGACAACATTTACTACAGCTCCAATTTTGGTACATCCAGACTTTACAAAGGCCTTCTATTTAGAGACTGATGCTTCAGATTTTGCTCTGGGAGCTGTGCTTTCACAAATGAGTGAAGACAAGAAGCTCCATCCAGTTGCATTCTATTCTCGGAAGTTCTCTGCTGCTGAAATTAATTATGAGATCCACGATAAGGAACTTCTTACTATAGTGGATTCTTTTGAAGAATGGCGTCACTTTCTTGAAAGAGCTGCATATTCAATGACCGTATATACAGATCACAAGAATTTGGAGTATTTCATATCGGCTCGAGTTCTAAATCGGCGTCAAGCTCGGTGGAATATGTCGCTATCTAGATTCAATTTTATTATCACTTATCGACCTGGAAAGCAGCAAGGACTATCCGATGCTTTATCGAGGAGATCGTATCTTGCACCAAAGGCTGGAGAAGCAGCGTTTGATCAACAATGTACAACGTTATTGAAGCCAGAGAGATTTCAACTTTGTGCTACTATTGTATCATTTGATGCTGACTTCCTAAACCAGGTACGTGCTATGACTATTAAAGATTCAATAGCCATTGATATCAAGCAACGTACCAATGACGATAAGTTCAAGGTGGAGGGAGATCTTTTATACTTTGAAGAGCGATTGTACATTCCAAAAGGACTAGCACGACTCCGAGTTCTTCAATCTTGCCATGATTTTCCAACTGCGGGACATTTTGGATTCAACAAGACCTTAGAGCTTATTTCCCGAGATTTTTGGTGGCCCTAAATGTGGAAGGATGTAAAAGATTTTGTCTTTTCCTGTGATATCTGTTCAAGATCCAAGAATCCTTGGCATCGCCCTTATGGACTCCTACAGCCATTGCCAATTCCACGTCAACCATGGTCTTCAATTTCTATGGACTTCATCACGGACTTGCCATCATCAAACTCATTTGACAGCATCTTTGTCGTGGTAGATCGGCTTACGAAGATGGCACACTTTGTTCCTTGGAAGAAGACATCGTCTAGTGAAGTCACAACAAGACTCTTTCTCAATAATGTGTATCGATATCATGGACTACCAGATGATATCATATCAGATCGAGGTACCCAATTCGTGTCAAAGTTTTGGAGATCTCTCTTTGGAATATTGAAGGTGGATATCAAGCTTTCTTCAGCTTTTCATCCTCAAACTGATGGCCAAACGGAACGGGTGAACCAAGTCTTGGAGTAGTACTTACGATGCAGCATCAACTATCAGTAAGACAATTGGACTGCATATCTACCGCTAGCTGAGTTTGCATATAACAACACTCTCCATGCGTCGACTCAACAAACACCATTCTTTTCCAACTATGGGTATCATCCAAAGCTTGATTTATTGAGTCCATCAACAAATAACAATCCAGCAACTGAAGGATTTGCGAAGCAACTATCAGAGCTTCAAACTATGTTGAAGCTTCAATTTCAATCCGCTCAAGAATCCTATAAGACGTCTGTAGATAGATTTTGGAATCAAGCACCTACTTTCAAAGTTGGAGACAAAGTCTGGCTTCTTCGACGAAATATCAAGACCAAGCGACCATGTGATAAGTTGGACTATCAAAGATTGGGACCATTTACCATCCGGAAGTAAATTAATCTAGTGGCATACCGGCTAGAGTTACCAACTTTTATGAAGGTACATCCAGTCTTTTATGTTTCTCTGTTGGAGCCTTATCGAGAGTCATCTTTTCCTGGAAGAGTGCAATGTCCGCCACCTAGTATTGAAATCGACAACCATGAAAAATACGAAGTTGAAAAGGTATTGGATTCACGGCGAAGGTGGAGAAAGTTAGAATATCTTGTTCATTGGTGCGGTTATGACATTAATGAGCGAACGTGGAAGCCAGCTGAAAATCTTGCGAATGCGCCACAAAAGGTACAAGAGTTTCATCAACGACATCCTGATAAACCTAAATCAATTCGACGATAGCTTCTTTCTGAAGCTTGTTCTCCCAACAATATAAGAAAAGGGGAGAGCACCTACAAAATTCGTAGTTGATGTAGTTATTTTCTCCAAGATAGATCGTAGTTTGGTCTTTTGATATGGATAGCCAAAAGATAGATACTATGCCAGTCAGAGTATCGCAACCGAGTAGCTCACGAAGGCGACCCCGAGATGAAGAAATACATGTACCACGACGACAACGGAGGATACCGAGTAACCGATCACTGGTGATCGTATTTGAGATCGAGCCTGCTTACGATGGTCAGCCAGAAGGCGTGTTTGTAGGACAATTTCACAATGAGGACACGGAAGTTCATGCTTGGTCAGAAGTCGAAGGTGTGGGCCACTATCGTTGGCTTCAAGGGTCGATGAACCACTTGCCTCGTAAACAAGAGTTGGAGTTCATAGCAGAAGTTATGTGAAAGATCTTCATTTTCTTGCGTTGGTACTGATCAACAACATTGCTTCTCAGAGACCTCGAAGCTAAAGGAGGGGATGATGTTAGGGACATATTCCTTAGAACTTTCTAGAAGAGAAGCCTTTGGAACCTTTTAGAGAGAAGTTTCTAGAAGCTTCTAGAAAGGAAGTCTCTGGAACCTTATAGAAGAGAAGTTTCTAAAAGCTTCTAGAAAGGAAGCCCCTGGAACTTTCTAGAAGCTTCCTAGTTAATAGAAGTAGCTCGAGAAGTTTCTAGAACCTTCTAGAAAGGAAGCTTCTGGAACCTTCTAGAAGCTTCCTAGTTAATAGAAGTAGCTCGAGAAGCTTCCTAAGTAGGAGTATATATAGGGATCGAGGCTGAAGAGTTCTTCAGTCTCGACAACACATCTCTTGGAGTTCTAGCTCACCTTTCTGGTGTTGTTCTTGTACTCATCTGTTTAATCTAGTTCTGCCACTTCTTCTTGAACTTCTTGTTAGATTTCAAGTCTGTATTTTGTGTCCGTGACAATAATTAGATGTTATTTTTTGGTTGATTCTCTTTTCCATCTCTCTTCTCACCACTACTTCCACTATCTTTGTATGTGCACTATAACGTGCCAAAATACACCCACTACTTCCACTATCTTTGCATGTGTACTACAATGTGCCAAAATACACCCACTACTTCTACTATCTTTGCATGTGCACTACAACGTGCCAAAATACACCCACATGTTGTTCAAAATCCATATCATCTATGTCTTTGACATTGTCGTGTTGTGCTTGCAATTGACAAATAAGGAATGTAACTATTTCACCAATAGACACAACCATCAATGCTTACAAACCAACACTGATTAATTATTTATAGACATGGATAATTGTGAATGCTGCTACTATCTAACATCACTATTATTGTATATTAACAAGTGTTGATTGAGAGTATTTGAGCATTCATGCATTGGAATTTATTAGAAAATACCTATATTGCTAAGTATGAACTTTTTGTGAATTTTGTTGTGTGGTATGTGTCTAAAATGTTGTGTATTCAAATTCTTCTTTAAAAAAAAATCTTTGATATGATGCATTTTGTAACTGCTTTTTTTGAATTAATATTTTTATATGGGCATGCAAAAGTTGGGAATGCAGCATAGCATTGCATTACGATTGATGGATTTACGAACCACAGACATAGATGATGTGGATTTTGAACAGCATTTGGCTGTATTTTAGCACATTGCAGTGCACATGCAAAGATAGTGGAAATAGTGGTGAGAAGAGAGATGGAGAAGAGAATCGACCAAAAAATAATATCTGATCATTGGTCTCAAAATGAGCAAACATTTGAAGAAATTAGCTTCTCAGATAGACCAAGTCTTTTTAACAGCCCCTTCAATTGTTCGAAGAATTTTTTTCGAGTTTTGAACAAAGAGTAGTCAAGTTTGCCTGGACTTCACAACCAGGTAACTGTGTTTGGAATGCAACAAAAACGTCTTGTTAAGAGAAAATCAATTGAAGTCTTTGAAAATATAACTTGTTGAGTTTGCGATGAGTTTTGTTCCTTGGTACTTCATTGTGGTGGGTGTTAGCATCGGTGTAATGTCCACGGATTTGTGAAAAGAAAATCTACTCATTCCCTTCACTCGTGGATGGCACTGCAAAGCCCACAAAACTGTTCATCTCTTGATGGGACCTCTTACCTTAACTCAAATCCACGTACAGCTTTGCAATAGGTATGACAATATCATGATGTAAGCATCTTACAAAATTCCATGGACAATAGAGGCTACAAGATTAATCTAACTTGCATCAAGTCAACCAGTATCAACTTGATGTTACAAAATGTGAAAAGGCCATTGTATTTTAGAAAACCAGTAGTTATCAATTGTTCGTGATTTCATTCATTTGCTAAAAATGGCCGAGCAGTATCCAAAGAATGCGGCTGAGGGCACAAGTCATGAAGGTCGGGTCAATTTTTACTTAAAAAAGAACAATTGTAATAGTTTATCAAGTTTAGAGGAAGTTTTGATATTATGACAAAAGTGAGGAGTAGATTTGCTATTATCAATAATACAAGGGTATTTAAATATATATATATATATATAGATATATAAATATATATTTATATATATTTATATATTTATATATCTATATATATATATATATTTAAATATGTATATATATATATATATATATATATTTATGTACAAACACACAAACACACAGATAACCTCTTCGATTACAGGTTCTCTTTTGCTCCAAACTTCATAGGAGGCATGCAGTTTCGGGCATGAAACAGGCACTTTGGACCGGAATGGCAAATCTGATTCCCGAAAAACGCCACCAAAATGCAGCACAGGATGTCCTTCACGTTGTCTTCCATCAAGGCAATCCCCTGCGAAATGTCAGCAACGTCACATGGGATGCACTTTCTGAGCGGAAGCGGCCCTAAGCGCACCGAATTCACATAATTGCATGGACTGTGCGCGGCGAATCCCGGAATCGCCAATCCCAGAATGCGGAACAGCAGGCACACCGTCGACTCCGAGAACTGATTGCCGTACAAGAGAGTGATAAAGAACAAGCCTTGGACAATCTCCCACACTGCGTTCAGGTGCACAAATATTGTCCACAGGATGCTGTAGTTCCGGTTGGGTTCTTCCTTAACAATGATTCCCTTGTACACGCTGTTGAAATAGTTACAGTCGCCGATGTGCTTGTAAGCCATGACGATGTCGTCGAACGGGACTCGAGGAACCACATCGTTGCAGTAGACGACGCGGAAGAATTTGCCCTTGAGCTTGGAGTTCGCGTAGTTGACGAAGTCCTGGTCGCCGACACGAGGCTGGCCGAAGGTGTAGACGGCTCCGATCTTGGAGGCAATCTCGGTCTGGCCGGTGTAGTGGAGCATCGTGGCGTAGAGGGAGGCGAGTGCGCCTCCCAGAGAGTGTCCCGTGATGAAGAGCTTGGCCCTGGGATTTTCCTTGAGGATAAGCCCCACCCGTTTCGTAATGGCGTCGTACGCGAGCTCCTTGGCAGGATCGTCAATGATGCCTTGGGCGAGGCCGGAAGTTGAGGGGGCTTTTTCGATGTCCTCTTTGGATCGGCGATGCGGGGTGACGGGGGTACGGGTAGCAGTTGCCTCGGCTTGTTCTCGCGCTTCGGTCGCTTCGCTTGATGCAATTGCATTCGTGTTCAGCCTCTCAATCGTATCACGATGTTTGCGACTGGCGAGCCCTAGCGCTTCGAGGAACCCCAGGTGGACGCCGCCCAGACGAACCAGATCCGCCCAAGTGAAGTCCAGATCGGTGCTCCAGTCGTACGCATTGAATGCTTCCGTACCGCGGAAGGCCACCACGACGGCGTTCGCGTCTTTGGGCTTGTCGGTGAAGATGAATGCCTGCGTATTGTCCATCTGCTGGTTCTCTGCAAGCAAAACCACACGACATGGCATCAATCAGACGTCAGTCGTATCCACTGAGAACGTTCGGGTCGAACCTGGAGCACAAGCAAGATTGTGCTCACCGTTCCAGCATTCGTAAAACTTGACGAAATTCATCTTCCAGATGTCTTTTACCACTCGCTTGACAACAGCTGGATTCTCGTATGCCAGCTTTGCCGCCATGACGCATACATCCGCGGTGGATCGCGAGCCAACGTTCTCATCTGGGAAAACTACTCCGTCTGCTCGAGTGCTGGAAGCCTTGCCCGGTCTCGACGTGTCCACGTACAAGTCGCAACGGGGATCCAGCGCCCCCACGCAGCTCAAGAAGTTGTCCGCGGTCGGATCGGGTAATATGATGCGACCTGCAAGTCATCACAAATAATCTTTATGTTACCCAACTGACGGTTCGACTTGCAACCAAGTCACAAAGCCGCACCTCCATGGAAAACACGGGAGGTGTTGATCATCGACGCGTTCAGAAGTGTACTGACCCCATTGGAAGGTGAACAGTTTGAAGAGCAGACGGAAGAGCCCGCCGTTGAGGAGAAAGAAGTTGATGGTCCATTCGACGATGGAACCCAGCCAATTGAGGGGCCTGTAGCAGGACTGCAGGGCTTGCACCACGATCCAGGAGGTGATCTGCTGCCATGAGAAAGTCGGGCAAACCTCGAGGATGGGTGGCATCTTGATGCGCAGTCTTAGCCTCAGAATCTCCGCCTGTGCGTCAATATGTTTTCTGCAAGAGGGCCGAACTACGATTCATATACGTGTTTCTGCTGTAAAAGCGAACTTCTATATACTTCTGCAGTGTTTGCGTATTGCTCGGCAGTGCGACTGTAAGCCCCTCCAGCAGTTTCTATATGCTTCTGCATTGCATGTATAGTGCTCTGCTTTGTAGCGCTGTGACCTTTGGAGCCGAGGGGTCCCTGGGGTGGAAGTGATTCCTCGTTCAGAAACATGTCATGGCTGCATGTCACTGGTTTCTCAGAGCGTGTCTGCTTAAAAATTGAAAGAAATCGTATGATAAGTTTCAATAGCAACAAGGCATATCTGCAAGAATAAAAAGATCTAATGTACTTCTAAAAAGTTTTTTAAAGGAAGACATTATGTACCTAACATGTCCTACCTACTTCTACTTACTTCTATTTATTTGGATAATATATGTATATATCATATTTCTCTTGCTAACTTTCATATTTATATTGATCAAAATTCCATCTAAATTTGATATAATATTATCTTGAAATAACTTAATTTGACCTTAACTTTGAATCTTAAATTTTAAATTTAAAATCTCAAAATCCCAAACTTCTAAATTTAAATTGAAAAATGTAAATTTAGATATTTTTATAATGAATTTATCTAAAATAAATTTATTTTCCTTCAAATATTTTTTATATATTTATAAATTTTTTAAATTAAATTTAAAATTAATTAGAAAAGATATGATACAATGTACAAATATTTTTTAATGTAAAATCTAAATGTAAACATATTCTTGTAAGGTCTTCAATCTTTTTTATTTTTATTTGCTTTTTATTACTTCTTGCTACCATTACTAGCTAATATATCATTTATGATGACAACATCTTTAATTTGACTTTGTTAATGATCAATTTATCAACTTGTACTCATAATAAGCCATTTAACTATCATTATAGCATAGAAAAGTATACACAAATATAAAATTTAATCAATCCAATCAATTTGACATGTTCTTATTATAATTTTTGTATACATATTGCTAGAAGAAATCAATTATTTATTTGATGAAATTCTTTATTTTAATGACTTATTTTCTTTAATATTCTTAAGTATGGCATATTTTTATGTTAATTTTAATAAAAAAATTCTTCTTTAATAAATTCAATCTTTCAAAAATATTTACAAATTTTACATTATGCAAAGGATTAAAATTCTAACTTTCTTAGATAAGTTTAGTCAAGTCATCAAAATTTAAAAGTGTGTTTGGTCTTCAACCTTTTTCAATTCTTTTTAGTATTTCTTTCATCTTTTGAACATTTTAAAAAATCTTAAAATATACTATTAAAAAAAATAAATATCAACTTGAAAAAAATACATTGACATTATATGATATTAAATTTTTAATTCCTTCAAAGTCATTTATTTAAGAACAATATAAAAATTAGAAGTGGAGGTTTTTTATCCAACCATTGTATTATTGTTTCTTTGAGCTTAGTTTTTGTTTTTTCGACAAATGCTTCAAGATTTTCAATAGATAAAGATAGGTTAGATTGCTTAGATCTAGTAGAACAATGCATCTATACAACTATAAACATATCGTTCAATTTATTGTAATTTAATCTATCAATTCCACAAGCAATTTAGTTTTTTGCTCTTCTACTTATAATCTACTTAAAGTATCTTTTGACAAGGAAGGAAAATATAAAAAAAATAATCCAAAAAAAAATACTTGCTTGAATATCATCACAAGTACGACTTTTCCCAACTTTGATTGTTATACAAAACTAATATTGTGTAGGAGTGATCCTAAGCAATCTTATTTGTAAAAAAGATTTCCATATGAAGATGGCAAGAAGATCAAGTTTTTTTTTTTTTTTTTTTTTTTTTCTTGCCTTTTCACAAAACAAATATTAAAAAATTACTAAATATAATAGTTTATAACAAAAATAATGTTACAAAAATGATTCTTTGCAAATAATTCACATGACATTAAAAAGAACTCATCTAATTGTATCTCTAGCCAACCTCACACTTGTCAAAAAACTTCGTAAAAATACATGACTTTTCTTCAAATTAATCTCAAATTAAATGTTCTAAATAGAGATTTAAGGTTTAAGATTAAAAGATTAAAGGTTCTATCTACCTCCTTCTTTGTATATCTAGAAGAAATGGAGACTTACCTTTCTTACATCTTCTTCTTAGATTCTACCTTCCAATTCCTAGCTCTTACTCCTTGCATTCCAGTGATTTGCTAAAACTTCAAAAAAGAAAATAATTCACAAAAGTTCAGGGACTTATTTGTTTGCAAGCTATTAATATATATATATATATTTTTTTTTTGTATTTCTTCTCTTCACACCATAAATTGTGTTAGCAAATAAATTTAAAATTCAATGAATTTTATTAAAAAGATACTTATTTTGGATTATGATTTAAATTTTTTTTTTTTTTTTTTTTTTTTTTTTAAATTCCTTCTATCTAACTTTTCTACATTTTTTTTCTTCTTGAATTTCTTCTTCTGCTTTTGTTGATGAAGAATTCTCTCAAGTTTCTTTTTAAGTGTGAAGCTAAATTTCACCACTTGATGAAACCTATGCCATAGAACAAGTCCAATAGGTGGAATTGGAGAGCTCCCAATTATGTAATTGTTAGATTAATTTAAATCTTTATATTAAAAATTCAATTAGTTTTAGGCCTTCCAAGCAATGGTTATCAACATTAAATTAACATGTTAAATAAAATTTAATATACAAACACAATAAAAATAATTAACTAAGTTATTACTATTAATTGATCATAAGAATAAAAACTTAAGTTTGAATTAAAAGTTAAGTAAAAAGTTAAGTTAAAAAAAGTTATAGTTAAAAATTAAGATTAAAAAGTTAAGTTAAAAGTTAAAATAAAAAGTTAAAATAAAAAAGTAAGTGAAAAGTTTAAATTAAAGGTTAAGTGAAAAAGTACGTGAAAATTTAAAATTAAAAGTTAAGTGAAAAGTTAAAATTAAAAGTTAAGTGAAAAGTTAAAATTAAAAGTTAAGTGAAAAGTGAAAATTAAAAGTTTAAAATTAAAAGTTAAAGTTAAAATTTAAAGTGAAAATATTAAAGGTTAAAAGTTAAAATCTATTAGCCAAAAAGTGAAATGTGGAGCTTACAAGTCACTGTGAAGACGATAGTAAAAATAAAGTGAGAGAGGTAAAAGCGAAGGTACCTTGACAATATGTAAGGATTGAAGGCAGCAACCCCCTTCTACTCTAAAATTCACCAAAATTTGTAATCGGCTTCAATTTGATTGATTCTTACCTTGTTGCAAGGCTAATTTAAAGGCGCTTTTGATCCAACAATCCTTGTTGCAATCTAATGATCCAGTCGTGAGAATTCCTCCTTTGAAGTTGAGTGATCCAAACTACCGCGGTGACCAACCCTCTTCACTTAGAAATTCACTAAAACTTCAGATTGTCTTTAAATTCAACAAAACTTGTGCCTTTCAGAGCTTAGCTTATAAAGCTTGATTATTCCAAAATTTCAAATAAATCCAATCACTAGGCACTGAGAAATGCCTTTCCAAACTCGATTGATTCAAACTGCAAAGGCAATCGACTCCCTCAAACTCAGAAATTCATCAAAAATTCCTTTTTACTCCAAATCGAGCAAGTATTATCTCGTTGGAAAGCTAACAACAAAAGCTACAAGTATTCAGAATCTTACAGTGAAAAAACAGAAGTTGAGTGACTGACTGAAGAAAATCCGAGGCCCTTAAAACCCTTGGGATATTTGAAAGGCCGAGGAGATATCTACTTCAATGAAACATATTTTAAAACTTAATGACCATCCTTCACAATTAAAAATCCATACATATACAATCACAAGGTTCACAATGAGAATTAAAATCTAAATAAAATTAAGATTAGGATTTCGGCCAAATTTTGGCATGGCTCCGCCCTTCACTAAAAAGAGGAGAGAGAGAGGGCTTGGAAAACCAAGCCTCTCTTATACAATTGAGTGGAGGCTTGTAGAAGGGTGGCTACATTTCTACCCTTGATTTTTAAGATCCCTAATCTAGATCTACGGCCTTCGTTCATCCAAGAGCCAATCTCGTTATTAAGGCTGATGGCTCTTGTAAGTGGTCAAGAAAGCATTTTTTTTGTAAATCTAACTATAATATTGTGTTCAAAACACCTTTTTAAGCTAAGATCGACTACTCACATGCCTCAATCCATGCTCAATTATAATTTTTATGGAAGTTTTTACTTACAAGGATCTTGGCAATTTTTGTGAAATTCTTCAAAATGAGAATTTCATTGCTTCTCTTGTAATTTGAAGGAGAGGTTGTTGATCTTATTTTCTTCACTCCATTAGGTAAATCTGGTGCCACCATTGCATTAAAAAGACTCCCATTAAATAGAAGAACCACCATGTGTTAGGGACATATTCCTTAGAACTTTTTAGAAAGAATCTTCAAGAAGAGAAGCCTCTGGAACCTTTTAGAGAGAAGTTTCTAGAAGCTTCTAGAAAGGAAGTCTCTGGAACCTTGTAGAAGAGAAGTTTCTAGAAGCTTCTAGAAAGGAAGTCTCTAGAACCTTCTAGAAGAGAAGTTTCTAGAAGCTTCTAGAAAAGAAGCCTCTGGAACCTTCTAGAAGCTTCCTAGTTAATAGAAGTAGCTCGAGAAGCTTCCTAAGTAGGAGTATATATAGGGATCGAGGCTGAAGAGTTCTTCAATCTCGACAACACATCTCTTGGAGTTTTAATTCACCTTTCTGGTGTTGTTCTTGTACTCATCTGTTTAATCTAGTTCTGCCACTTCTTCTTGAACTTCTTGTTAGATTTCAAGTCTGTATTTTGTGTCCGTAACAGTTTGTCGAGACTGCACTAACTTGAGATATCAGAGCTAGTTCTTTCTTAGTAGAGTGTAGATTACCCCTCTACTTGAAAGTATACTAGCATTTTAGAGGTTGCGGATTACCCTCCTCTAAACTGATACTTCTTCTGTTACAATATTGGAGTCTTATTCTTCTTGGAGAGAGTGGATTACCCCTC